CATCGGCAGCAAAAGAAGTATCTTAAAGATACTTATGCTGCTTTTGTGTATCTTTTACTTATATTCAAGCACTTAAATTACTTTTAATGGCACACGTTAAATGGGTCGATGTGAAAGAAAGCATTTACCTATACGCGAAGCACTGCTGAACCAAAAACACACTTTTTATACAATATCTTTTTTTTTTGTTTTGATTTTTATATTTTTTGTTTTCTTTGTAAATATAGGTTTTGTTTTTTTTTGTTGTTTTGTTTTGATTTTAGCAAATGTAATTTTGAAGATTTTTCAAAATTCACTTTTTTCGTTACAATAACCAATAACAGCAAAACCAAGTAAATATCTCACGAAATGAAATAAACAATCATTTTTTTTTTTTTGAACACATTTCTGAGTTAATTTTTTGAAGAGGCGCAATTACGGCAAAGCCCACCAGCAGTACCTGACGAGTACCAGGTGAAAGATAAAACTTATCAAAAAAAAGAATTTAAAGCAAAATAAAGCAAAAATAATGAAATGAAATGAAATCTCGAAATCCAACAAAAAAAAAAAATTCAAAAACAGTTGAATTGAAATCCGCGTAAAGATACAAGTGCAAAAACAAAAAAAAAAAAATAAATCAAATCAAATAAAAGGTTTTGCCGAAAAACTCAGTTAATTATATGAGCGCAACAATAAGCCAAATTATATGGAAAAATTGCATTTGCGGCAATTTTTCAACTTTTGTTTTTTATTTAATTTTATTTCTGTTTTTCAATTATTTACAAAAATTCTCTTTTCGTTCTTTGCAAATTTACAGATAAGCGCATTGGCCAAAATCAGCGAAAAACGCATTGTTTACTGCCAAACTCAAAAAAAAAAAAAAGAATTTTGGAAAAAAATTCAATAAAGCCGAAAATAATTTTGAAAAACCAAAAACTGTAATTTAGTAACAAAATTGTTTTTGTTGCTTTTGTTGTTTTTGTTGTTAGTGTAACGCAAATAAAACAAACGCATTGAATTCATTTTGATTGCAAGTGGCAAGTGAAAAACCTACGCCAAAAAATGCGAATGCAAATGCACTTTATTTTTTACAATAACAAAAAGAAAAACAAAATGAAAAAAATGATAAACAACACAGAAAGCACTAAAGTTAAGTTGTATCTGAGTCCACGCGCAACCGCCCCTTCGCTCCGCCCGCCACCTTTGCACTACACACAGCTTTCAGATTCGTCGCATCTTTCACATATGCAGCAGACAACACTCGCAGGCACCACAAACTTTTTTGCTTTGTTTGTTACCTTTAATGATCACATGCGAAAAATGTACTGACTTTGTTTTTGTATTGCATTTGCTTTGTTTTTACCCGGTTTTTTACTTGGACGTGCCGAAATTCGTTTCGTTTCGTTGGCAGATAAAATTTCTTCTTGCCGTTTACCGTAGACACACACGATACATCCGTACACGCCGCCGTGCACTTCTTTAATGACGATCGAACACGTTCGCTTTTGTTTCTTATAAGAAGAGTGAGCGAGAGTCGATGTTTTGTTTTTGTTTTTATTTGTTTTTGTATTTGTTTTTGTTTTTTGGAAACTGTATGCCAAAAGTTTGTTGTTACAATTTTTTATGTATTTAAGAGAAACGTGCAAATGTGCAACTAAGAATTTTTATTTTATTTAAGAGATTTCGTTGCTTTGTTTTTTTTTTTTTTTGTAAAAAATTATTAACTGGTCCTGAAGGTTCTTTGAAAACCTGGGACTGTTTAGCTCCATTTTAATTTTATTTAAGAAATTTCTTTTTATTTTTTTTTTTTTGTTGTGTAAAATTATAAACTGGTCCTGATGGTTCTTTGAAACCCTGTGATCCTTTGACCCTTTGATTAGTTCTATTTTAATTTTCTTTAAGAGATTTCTTTATATTTTTTTAGTTTTATTTTTTTAATTATGAACTGATCATGAAGGCACTTTTAAAACCTGGGGCTGTACAAGATCCATTTTAATTTTATGTAAGGAATTTCTTTAAAAGCATCGGACTATTGTTCAGTTCCATTTTAATTATATTTAAGATATTTCGGTTTTTGTTCTGTTTTGTGTTTGGTATTTTGTAAAAAATTATAAACTGATCGCGTAGAATCTTTAAAAGCCTGGGACTGTTTAGTTCACATTTTAATTTTATTTAAAATTATTTTTTTTCAATATGTACAGATCATGGAAAGTCTTTTACAACCTGAGGCTGTACAATATCTATCTTTAATTTTATATAAGGAATATCATATTTTTCTTCTATTTTTTTTATTAATCGTAACTAACTAAAATTCCATTTCAACTAAAAAGATTTCATTTTCTGTTTTTTTTTTTTGATTGTTAAAAATTATGGACTGATCATAAAGGGTCTTTAAAACTCTTTGATCCTTGAACTGTATAAGTTCTATTTTAAATTTATTTAAGAAATTTTTTTTTTTTAAATATAAACCGATCATGAAAGATCTTTAAAAATCGCGAACTGTGTAAGTTCCAAATTCATTTTATTTAGGAAATTTTTTTTGTATATTTTTTAAATATGAACGGATCATTCAGGGTCTTTTAAAACTAAACAAATTAACTAATTAAGTAAAGTTCCATGTTAACTAAAGAGATTCCGTTTTCTATTTTTTTTTTGTTTGTACAAAATTATAAACCGATCATGTAGGATCTTTTACAATCTAGGACCATATAAGTTTCCTATTAAAAGAAAATTAAAACATATAAATATAGCTAAAAGTTTGTCGACAGCACGGAGAATCAATGTTATTATAGAGCCATGAGCTGTATCAACCGTTGTCTGAGAAAAATACTAAGGGCGATTTTTTGTATTTTGGTCGAGTATGACATTCAAAAAAATCTCCCAACAATAAAAGCCCGTAAACCCATTTAAACAAAAATAAAAAGTAGTGTAAACGTCACTATTGGCGCCCTGAACATAGTAGTGTATTCAGACGAAAATGATACCTCCCCCATACCGTTACCATTGGTAACTGGATACCATAACGTTTTAGTTCCGGAAAAAATATTTGTGTAATATACAGAATACAATCACCTTAGAGACCATTTGATGCCTTTTTGCGAGTGACACTCAGGTCATGATACATCCCTTTCCCTTTGTATTATGTAAAGAAAATTAACAAGATATGGCACTGCAGTGAAATCCGCAGAGTTAATAAATTAAGTAAGAAATGACAGACTCAGATGGCGACTGAAACAGATGGCAGGAGCTTGTTTCTGTCCTCAATCTCTATATAAAATTAACTCAAGTTATATGTATTTATTACACATACCTATGTATGTATTTATTATATTGTTAGTCATATATTATTCGCAGCTCTACAAATAATCATTATAGTTACTAAGGCTCTCGCCTATTCTAAATAATTCATTATTCACTCCAACGTACTTGAAATGTTATTTTATTCTCTTGTAATTAAATTCATTTATAATATGGCATGTAATTAGAACAGATCGTGTAAAATGACAACAGCATGTCCATTTTCTAAATGACTACCAATGTCAATTACTGATTACACTGTATGAAAAGCAAAAAATATCGGTTATCGCCATGTTAATACTTAAAGTGAGAAACTTCTAATCTTGCGTATCTAGTGTATTATTATTATATAACATTTTAACAGGAACCTAACCTAACCTAATTATAATAGTCAAGCAAAGTCTAATCTAAAAAATACCTTGGGTTAGATATTCCCAAGGTATTTTTTAGATTAGAAGTTGAATAAAGTATTTGTGTGAATATTAACCAAATAGTATGTTCCCACTGACTTCGTTAAAGCAGTTTATTTGATTTAGGTCACTAATGAAATTTGATTAACCGTACAAAGAGGTTTCGTGCTATTGCATTTTAACTTAGTTAAGAATGAATCAATGCAAATCAGACCTAAAATATCGAATGCAATATTGCAAAATATTTCCCAAAAGGAAAATTATCTAAACTTCACATACATTTGACATATGAAATTTATATAAATATAAAAAACAAATAAGCCAAACAAAATGTAAAAATTTTTTAAAATGTTTTTTGTAAATAAAATATATAATTGATATATAAAAATATATAAATGAGTTATTATATCATATACATATTTAATAATTTATAATAATATTCTTATACAATGCCATATATTATTTAATAAAAAATATTCCAATAACGAAATCTTAATTTGATTAAGAGCACATCGACACTGTCTCATTTAGTTCGTTTTGCTCATTATACCCACTAATGAGGATGACTTACCATATATCTTTCATCTAAATGAGCTAATTATTAATAAATCAGTCCATTTAAGTTGAAAAATGTCGAGTACAACTAATATAAATTTCACACTGAGAAAGTAAGTATATAATAAAATTTTTTTTTTTAATGGAATATGTAATTGATATATATAATGTATATAAGTGATTTAATATAACAATTATATATATAATTTTTTTGTTAGATATATTATTAAGTGAAGTTTATACAGTTCTATCAGCTGCATAAATGAGGTCATTTTAATGTGAACGTTCACTTTTTAATAAATGAGCAAGTGCCTAAATAAAACAGTGTAAAAGTACTACAACATAAATTGATTAAGATTCAGTGGGAACATGGTATAATTATAAATAATTTTAATATTCTTTGCTTCGCTAATGATTTACAAAACATAATAGTAAAAAGAGTATATTGAATTTAGTTAAACTAATTTCTGAGAATAATATTTTAAACAGATTAATAATTGTGTAACAAAATAATACATGTGCTCATTATTATGTATTAAAACGCATGTAAATAAAATCATGTAAGCGATATTGTATTTAAATTCCATATTTCTGATGTCAAAGATAAATAATCATCAATCAATAGTTATTTTAATTGTTTATATAATTCGCTTACAATCTGACAAATCGAGTCTGACAAATTTTATGCACACATTATACATTTTGTAACACCCCTGTCATGTGCCTTCAGAATCATTTTTTGACAGTTTGTCAATTCTTATTCGTTGGCATTTACTGAGAGCTGGTTTGTTGATGTTTTTAATTTATGTGATTAATTAATAAATTTAATTAAATTAATATATATTTAAATTTGATTTATTACAAATCTAAAAAGAAATAAATAAAACGGTAATAAAAATATATTTAATTTTTTAACGTACAAGCAAAATTATGATGAGTGCAGTTCTCACCTAATAAGAAACTTGGGCGTGGACACTTGTGATGCTACAAGTATTAATTAACAAGACGAGTCGCACCCAAGTGTAAATTACTTCAATGTGAATTAATTTATTTAATTGTGTTCTTTTTGATGAAATTTAATGTAATGTGATTATAAAATAATCTAGATTTAAATTTTATAGAAAAAATGGTGGTACTAAGTTCTTGCTGGTCACCATTCATATGGTCAAATTCTGTTAAAACGGGCAGCAAAGCAGTAGCTTTTTACACAGCAGCATTATCAGTTGTGCTCATCACATTGGCATGTTTTTAACGAAATTAAATTAAATATAATTTAATAAAATTGTAATATATTTATTTTTTATAGATTACATATATGCTGTGTGGTGGAGAATCAGCCCAACTCTACTCGCCACTATTTGAAACAGATAAAAGATACTCCATGCCCTTATTTGGTGGCATTTTTATATTATATTTCATACTGCTTATATTAGCATCTTATTTAGTTTATTTTGGCATAAAGATTTGGTTAGTATTTTGTAGTAAAAAGTGAAGTGAAATCTAAATTTAATTGAATTATTTTTACAGCACCCGTGGTTGGCTGTTACCTTGGTTGATATTAGCAGGAATTGGTATACTTTTCCAATTTGTATTTGGTCTTTGGCTTATTGGTGGCTACTATATATATGTAGGTTGAATTCAGTTAAAATTTGTTTTGTTTATTAATACATAAAAATATATGCTTTCAGCTGGAGCAAACACTTTCAGCATTGTTGAATTTTTGTTGGATGGCCTACAATGTAATAAAATCTTACAAATTTAAAATATTTGAAACTTAAAAATTTTTTCGTTGCAGATCTATTGTTGGCTCTGTGTGTTTTCACAATATCAAATATTCCTGATACTACAAAATCCGAATATTGAGCTTCTAATGCCTTGAACTTTAGGAAATTTATATACATATATATGTGTATATATATTACATTTATGCGTATTGAAATGCAGCATAAAATATTTAGATTTAAGTTATGAAAAGAATCGCATATCTAAATCAACATTCCGAAAAGCATTTTTTGCTTTAAATTTTATAGAAAAATTAATATGTATGTATAAAAATAGTTATATTTGTCTTTAATAATATATTATGTGTACATTCATATGTATTTATACATATATATTGCTTGTGCATACATATTTATGTATCTATATATTTATATAGTTTCATATATGTTTTATATCGCAATCGAATAATATTTCTAGACTTATAGTCAAACATTCCGTCCTTTAGGTTAATAATTTGTGCAAATGTGCATTATTTTTATGCATTAAACTTTTTACCAATTAGATTTGTTAAAATAAAATTTAGTAAAATTAATAAAGTGACCTTAATACTTTTATGCACACATGGCAAAACTTTATACATATTGCCATAAAAATAAAATATTTTTTTATAAATTTTGTGTCAATTTTTTTATTGAAATAAATATTTATGTCAAAATAAATATGTATAAAATTATATTTTATTGAAATAAACGATGTAGGAAAACTGTTTTATCTATTTTATATTATATATAAAATCGTTCATATATTATTTATTGGAGTAAATGTTATTCCGAAGAATGCTAAAGGACTGTCTCGCAAATAAATGGAACTAAAAATACAAATACATGGATTACGAAATGGTTGGGTAAAGGAAGTTCTCGGAAAGAAGTTTGTTTGGACGTTTATTCGCATTATCTGATTTGCTAAGCAGTTTTGAATGAATCGCATACTCTTAATTGTATGTAATGAGTTAATCCAATTTGAACTTCTGTTGAGACAGACTGTCAATGTATCAAGTTTTTAAAAATCAAGCAACGTATAAACAAAATAAATAAAATGCCTCATGTTGAGTACCAAAGATCGGTTAAAGACTCTCTCTCTCTCATAAGTTATATGACTTAGAGGTGATTAAAAGGAATACTTATAAAGAACATACAATTTATTATAATATGTCGCAAGCTTTGATATGAAACCAAAAATGAATTTATGTTATGATTGGTTTGGTGATTGGTTCTGTGAATTCATATATGACAATTACGCATGCTGTCATTTTAATTAATGTTATTACACTCGCGATTAATAGGAAACTCATACCTTATTCATATATATAACGAAATAAGGTATTACCTTGTTTAGTTGCTTAGAGATTAGCTCAGCTAATGCAGTTAATGTTTTAAACGGAATTACAAATCTTTTTTAAGCACAAAATTAACAAAAAAAAATGTTTTCCTTATCAAAACAAGCAAAAATCCGACACAACAAATGAAATACTTTAATTTTTTATTTTTATCAATTTCACTTTTATAGCTTATTTACCTTTTGTAATATAATAATTTGATATTTTATGATTTCTGTGTTTTTAAAAATATTTTTACAATTTTAAATGTTTCTATACGTTAATGCATTACGTTATACTTTTTCATGCCATTCCTTGGTTTCTCTTCATTTTACACAGTTCCATTGTCTTACGTTGTGTTGATAAATTACGTAGTGTGGGTAAGAATGTCTTGTTCTTAAATCGAATAGACAACTTATGATATTTATTCACCTCATGGTTGCACTTCAAAACAATCCAACCAACTTTTTTAAAGTTAAAAACCAAAACAACAGATGCTTTCGGTTGCTTTTAAGTGTGGCAAAAAACAGCATATTGCTTACTCTATGCGTTAAGATTGCAACAATGATACAAATATCTTATCACTGTTGCAATCTGCCAAATGTTATGTTTTCGTAAAAAATAAATCTTGCATATGTGCATATGATGCAAGCAAATTACATCTTGAATAAAAAAAATTAATAAAGCAATGTTTAGAATGCAGAAAATTTTGAAATTTCGTTTTACAATAAAATTTAAAATATGGTAGTTTAGAATATTTATTCTTATTCCTTATAAGTATTAACTTATCAATTATACTCTCTTCACGTACTTCTAAAAATTTTTGTATTTATTTATACTTATATATTTAGAATATTTATTTTTCCAATTTTACATATTTTTAAAAAAATTTATTTCCACAATGTTTAAATTTATGAAACTTAAATTTGTTTGAATTTTTGTTAAAAACTCTTGAGACATGAGTGGAATATTCGTTGAAATTTCTAATAAAGGTTCATAATAGTTCACTTATTGCGTTGATAACATATTTTTCTGTAGTTGCTTAAATGTTTCGCCACTTCACAACAGATGTTTAGATAGAGAAAGTAGTGTTGTTATTTTTCATAGATTTTAACAACTTTAAGCGAACCAATTGCTGTTTTTTTGCGAGCTGCTGAAAACACCTATTATAATTAATGTAAAGTTTTCAATTCCATGTCTTTGGCATATTTTTTTATGAATTTTGTATAAAAAAAATATATTTGATTCGTGCACAATTCTTGAGTTAATTATGATAGTACCTAACAGCTACATTTCCCGTGATAACTGGAAATGGGTTTCACCTTTTGACCTTTACGGTCTTTATAGCTAAAATTTATCAACTTCTAAGATCTGGTTTTAGTGTGTTCAAGTCTCACATTTGTCGCTTTTGATGCTTTCTGCCTATTGGGGAAAAATTTATAGACTTATTGATAAAAAAATTTGCAATTTGACAAAAATCTATTAGTAGCTGCTCTTGACGACATTTCTGGCATTTAAAGAAGCTTTTTAAGATTATTATTATTATTAATATTAATATTAATAATGTAATAATAATATTAATATTATAAGGCATAAAATTTCAATAAAATCGTTTGTGTACATAGCAAACAAACACATATTATGGCATATAACCGATTCAGTTCTTGAACTGGTTCGGATTAGTGCTTCGATACTCAAAACCATTTCATCGCCCATATTTGTATTGAATCAACGAAATAAGATTTAAATATTTTTATAAATCTTACCACAAAGTTTATAAAATATGCATTTGCAATGATATATTCAGAATACTACAGTCACCCCATTTTCGCTGGCCTTAAAAATTGTTTTTAAAAACTAAAACTTAGTAGATATTAAATTTTTTTGATATTCTTAAAAAAGTTATAAATTTCTTTGATGGATATTAAAACTAGCATTTTATCTTAATTTTTGTATAATACTTCATTGAAATTATTATATTTTATATTCGTTTTTGTTTATTTATTTCGTAGTTACGTACGTAGTTACGTATGTAGTTACGTACTAATGTAAATACTTAATTTGACAAAAATTTCTGATTTATTTGAGTATGAAAAATACAAAGTTGGCTTCTGTTTTTTTAAAACAACTAGTAAATATAATTGATATTTAGTTTGGAAATTTTTTTTTAATAATTGTGAAACTTAATTGAAGTTACAATTAATATATTTCGTATACTTTACAGCATAAATAAAAATATTTTGGCACACAAAACTCAAATTATCTGCTTTTCATATATATTTTACTGA